CTGGGTGGGCACTGAGCGCATAAGGGGAAATGTGTCGCGTGTCGCGTGGCCGAGGCGCGAGGCGCGGCGCTGCAGGACCCAGGCGCCGCCGAGCCGGAAAAACCGCCGAGAAAGTGGTGCTCGGCCCCGATGTGTGCTGGACCTCGACCCAGGAGCAGGCAGAGAGGCGCCCACGACCGACCGATCAAACGGAACTCAGTCGCTGCTGCTCAGCTCGAGCAGGAAGGTCGGGTCCCGGTCGGGTCGTCAACACCAGCGCCGCTAGACTGCACATCAGAGGTAGGAAGTTCGAATCCTCGGATCGAAAACCCAAAGGGAAATTGCCCGTACCGCCGTTAGGTCGATTGCGGGCAAAACCTTAGGCCGGGGGCCAGGATTGTCGATTGCGGGCGAATTACCTCCAGCGGATTATCGGGTCCTGATCTGCCTGTCACCGGGCCGCCGGTCGCGTAAAGTGTATCGATTCGATTGCGGGCGAAGGAGGCTGGCGGGTTGCCTACCCAGGGGCCGGCAGGCGCTACTTCTCCCGGCGCCGGTAATGGTCTTATCTGTGCAGCGTTCTGGACCACCGGCCGGCCAGGCGCTGTGAGAAGTAGCCGCAGCGGCAGCGGTCTGCTCCCCTTGCTAACTGCGTACTGTGTCCTTCCTTGCAGAGCATGGAGCAGCCTGACGCCGTGTCCTTGCCCTCGCTGCCGGACGACGTGCTGCTGATGGTGATGGGCTACCTGGACGTGCAGGACCCGCCTCGTGTGCAAGAGGCTCGGCGGCCTGGCCGTGAGCCCGGACGCATGGCGGCGCCAGGCCATGTCGTGCCGTGCCGGCGAGCCCGTCTTCAGCACCGCGCTGCGTTTCGCGCCGTGCCTGGCGAGCCTGAAAATCTACCTGCCGTGCTGGCGGGATGAGATGCGGTTGCAGAGGACGACGAGGTGCGCCGTGTCGGCACTGGAGTTGTGGGTGCGTGATGAAGACACCCGCGGCTGTTTGGTGCAGGCCGGCAATGTCATCCGGAATCAAGAAGCTCTCGGCCGCCTGAAGAAACTGACTGTCGTGCTTCAGTTTTACACGGACATGGTAGTGGATCTTGGCGTGGTGGCGCGCACCTCCGGGCTCGAGATGCTCACCGTCAACATGCTCGACGGTGCGACAACCATCCCCGCACCCCTCATCGTGGGCAGGCGCGTGCCGCGCTCGTCGCTGAAGACGTTCCGGTGCCACCTGAAAACGCAATTGGTCCCCTTCTGCGAGGTCGTGCTGGCGGTCCACGCCCTCACTCTGGAGACGGTTGACTTGGACTTCAAAGGCGGCTTCAACTTCAGGAAGCCAGAGGCTCTCCCTCCCAATACGAGGCTGGCATCCCTGCTCGCAGGCATGCCCAATCTGTCCGAGCTCCGTGGCTGTCCGCTCGTCCCAGGGCTAGAGGCCGTGGCGGCGTGCGAGTCGCTAAGGGAGGTGTCTCTCTTCGTGGGGTCCGGCGCGGGACCCGCCGCCGTGCAGGGTGCCGCGGATTTCCTGCGCCGTTGCAAGCAGTTGCGCGGAGTCGCCCTGACGTACAGCGACGCGGCCTGCGACGACAACGTCGCCGTCGATCTCGTCTTGGCCCTTGTGTCTTCCGGGCCGTCCTCTGTGGAGGCGCTGTCCATCAAAGTCGATGATATCCATTACGGGGTGGAATTGCCCCAGATGGAGCCGCTAAGCAGGGCCCTGCCACGGATGCCAGTTTTGCGTGAATTGTTGGCGGGCGGGTCGTCGGACGAGGTGCTGCTGGCCATCGCCCCCCACACATCCCCCGCCCTGCGAAAACTGTACTTGTACCAGGGAGAACTGCAGGAACCTGAATGTGCCCACCAATATTTGCACAGGGATTCAGTTGCGACACTTCTGTCCAAAAACCCTTTGCTAAAGCTAAAGGTCTATGCAGCCTACTACTGCTACCCAGAGTACCCTCCCTGCAAATTTTGTGAACTGGACTGCCACCGAAAATTATGGGCGCGTAAAGTGAAAGAAAAGCATGCCAGACTTAAGGAAGGTGAGCTCCCTTTTGAGGCTGCTGATGCTTGGGTCACTATTCCTCGACTGTAACGTGTAATAATGGGTTGAATATCGTGTTTGCTGCTGTTTGTTTGCATCACTCACATAGTCGACCTCGATTCATTTTCATTCTTAAGCAGGTTTGGTCGTGACTTTAAATCTCACTGTTGCTCTTTTCAACTCACAGGACACATTTGGATGTTCTTTTGTGTGTTTCTTCTTTAATTGTTTCTGATTTATAATTAAAGATGGCAGTACATATATACTTATACAAATATAAGATATAATGGCAATTTTTACAATTTGATGTAGATCTATGTTTGGTGGAGAAAATGTATTGTATACAATTCATTAAATCTTTGAGTTTGCTGTAATTTAGTGAATAAGATTATTAGCAGATCAGTTGATCTATTACTCAATGACAATCATCAAACTATAGCTAGCCCTAGAATTCGTAACACAACGTAAATGAGACTATAAAAAATGCAATGACATCACAAAATGTCTGTTAAACTATGTCTGATAAAGATATAAAACCCAATAGAGCAGATGAACGACCAGTTTTATTTTCTAATTTCACCCTCAGTGACATGTTTGTAGAATGAAATAAAAGCTCAATCAAGAGTCGATCGTAAGAGCATATGACATAAATTGAAGAGTAGTCTTGTGTTCTAATAAGAAAAATTTGAAAGAAACGTCTGGGTTTAATTTGCCCAGATATCAAGCCAAAAAGTTTCACTATAGGTCTCAGTTAAAATTGTACATTGGTTTATGACTTTTATAGCTCCTCCTCTCGTGAATTTTGTTTAATTTTATCGGTCTAGCTGATCCCCGGAGTACCATACCACAATAAACACGTTTTCAGATTCAAGATATAAGGAGATATCCCGTAAAATGAGAGAAATACCAGGTTGTTAAAGTAACTCGATTCATTTTCAGAAAAAAATGACCCTTTCACAGTGAGTTAAACAATCAAAATCACTCAGCTTCAAAACATTACATATAACTAGGGTAACAAAAAACTATTAGTGGTTCATTGAATATGGATCCAGTCCTGATAGTCTGATCTGGTAACGTCATCATCCTCGTCATACTCCACTTCCCAATCCCA